TGCAACTATATTTATTGTCTTGAAAATATAAATAACTAAATAAGCTGGTTCAATTTATTTCTTTTTTATTTCATTTTCTTAAAAATAAAAAATATATATTTTTAATAGTTTTGCAAGGATTACAGATTCGAAGTGCCATGTTTTTTTTTATATTTATTAATTGAGCTGGAATCATGCTAATAAAAATAGAAACATATTTTTTAGCACAATTTTTTATTCTTAAAAAAGCACACCTCAATGTATACTTCTATAGTATATTAAGAAGTGATAATATTAGAAATATTTGTAGATACTTATGCTCCTTTAATTTATTGATTTACAAAACATAGCATGTTATTGACAATTAATTATAAATATAAAATAAAAGATTCAATAATTAATTATCAAAATAAATATATGGAATCAAAAAAGAGTTTTTTACAACTTAAAATATATATGTAATTCATAATAGTTTTTTACAAAAGTACACATTTGTCTCTTTCACTTAGTATTTTCCATGACAATGTGAAACTAATTTTAAGAAAAATTAAAAAATTAAAATATATGGTAATAATAATTAATAAGATTTTGATGATGGATAAAAGATAAAATATTGACAAAATTAGAAATGCATAGATTAATTCAAGTTTCAATAAACGATGTGATTCATATTTCATATTTAGATATTATTTTATCATTGTAAAAATATATATATATATATATATATATATATTGCATGATTATATATATACAAACCAAAATGAAAATTTGTCATTTCTGTATCTCAAAGTTTTTAACTTTAGAAGTTTGGTCGTTCTAACCCTTGAAATAACGTGCACTTTGAAATTACTTTTATACTCCCATTTTTTGCACCTTTCTTTTTTTCTTCTTTAGAGTCTCTCAAAAAAATTTTTTTTTTTTTCTAATGAGAACTAAACCTTCAGAACCACTAAACTTTTATCTTATTTTTTCTTGAGATCCAAATTTCACATATGAAAAATAGAGAGAAAATTAAAAGACAATAAGCTTTGATTTTGTGGCAAGTTACAAAATTAAGTCAAATCCATACCTTTTTGATTGGTAACAAAGTGAGATTTATCAATTTCAAATAGAATCGATCAATTTCTCAATAAATTTCAGCTAAAATCTTTCGAAATTTGTTTTTAAAGGGATAAATATCATATTTAAATGGTAGAGAAGTAATAAATATTTATCCAAAAATAGACATAAATAAATGATATACCAGGATGACAAGAAAATAACAGGGCAGAAAAATTGTCATATTTACAAAATCATAATCATTTTGCTATTGTGCTAATATGACAATGTGAATTGCCTAAAATTTTTGTACAAAGAACATATTGATTAAAATATTATATGTATGGATCTATCTAAGCATATTTTAATAGATAAACTTAAGAGTCGATGGTTCGAAGGATTTCCAGGAAATATTTAATCATATATTATGGAGATATTTGGGAGTAGTCAAAATTATTTTTGTAAAGTAATCTCATTACTTTTAGTTTATAAATTGATTCATACACGCCAACTTGAACTTAGCTTGGTCTGGTATCTATCCTCCAATAGTCTCCAATTATTTTGTTGTATTTAAAATGAATGAATGAATTAATGAATGAAAAGAGAGGAAAAAAAGAAAGATTCATACTCTTGATAGAGTTGGAATGCTCTGTTCGTTCCAGAAGAAATTTTGGGGATCCACCGCCGTCTTCACCTTCACCAATCTCTCGAAATTCTCCCCAAAATACTTCACCCCATAAACCTTCCCTTCTTCCAACCTGTTTTCGCCATTGTTGTTGCTGCCGATGTCCAAATCTCTGTAGTTCAAGAACGCCTTCCTTGGATTCTTCGACACAAATGGCGTCATGAAACTGTACAGCCTTCTTATTTGTTTCATGAACTGCTGCTCCGCCTCCGCCCCCGCCTCCTCCCAATTCACCGAGTATTGGATTTTGAACAAGTTCCCCGCTCTGTGAGGAAACGGCGTCGCCGACGATGGAATTTTGCTCATCTTTCCCCCGTACGGGTTGAAAACCAGCCCCGTTTTCCCGATTTCCATCATCTTCTTGTACACCCACGCCAACCCATCCCTCGAAATGGGCGTCTGTACGTAATCCGATTTCCTTTTCAGGAAATTTGCCGATCCGATTTTCCGATCCAGCAGAACTTCCGGTGAAGTTCCGACCTCGAAATTAGCCCACCACACAACCGAATCGATCCAACTCATTTCAGTACAGTTCTCTTTCTCCAAGCCCAATTCGGGGAATTCTCTTCCCAACAAGGAGACGAGGTCCTCTGATTTGCCGAGGAACAGGGCCTTGACTGTGGCTCTGATTGTTCTCGCCCCCTCCGTCACTTCACTGGAAACTGGCTGCAGCAGAAGCCTCATGAACAGATTTTCATCAATGGACGGAGCAACTTCTTGCCATCTCACGACAACGTCGGCGGCGTTCTGTTCCAGAGTTCTCTCCACATGAAAAACAGTGACGGTCTCCGGCACCGGAACCAACCGAATCCTGTACGCGAGGATGACGACGAAACTCGCTCCGCCGCCTCCCCGAATGGCCCAGAAAAGATCCTCCCCCATGGATTCCGCATCGAGGATTCTCCCCTTCACGTCGACAATCCGCGCGTCGATAACGTGGTCGACGGAGAGTCCGTACTTGCGGAGCATGTTCCCGTAGCCGCCGCCGCTGATGTAACCGCCGACGCCGACGGTGGGACAAACCCCAGCCGGGAACCCAAGAACCTTACTCTTCTCCCAAATTCTGTAGTAGACTTCTCCGAGCGTGGCTCCGGCCTCCACCCAGGCCGATTGGTCGGCGGCGTCGACAGTGACAGCCCGGAGATTCGACATGTCGAGGACGATGAATGGAACATCGGAGACGTAGGAGAGGCCGTCGTAGTCGTGACCCCCACTTCGGATTTTGAGTTGAATGCCGATCTCGTTGGAGCAGAGCACCGCGGATCGGACATGGGATTGGGTGAATGGCGTAAGAATTATGAGAGGTTTGGGGGCGGAGGAAGTATTGAAACGGGCATTTCTGATATAAGCCGTAAGAACAGAGGTGTACGAAGCATTATCGATGGCGAAGGCTATGCGGTAGACTTGGTCGGAGGGATTGGAGTTGGATTCGAGGCACTGAAGAAATGTGTCGTAGATGGAACTCGAAGAAGCCGAAGCCACCGCCGCCGCTGCAGGAGCAGAGAATCGGAGAAGGAGGAGGAAGAGAAGAGGAGGCATGATTGGGGGAGTGAAGTTGGATTTGAATTTGGGGCGAGGCGTGGGATTTATGTGCAAAGGAATTGGTTTTGGTTTTTTTGAATGCCAACGAATTGGTTGGTGGAAGGGAGGGTAATAAAGATTTGTTTACCATTTGGGGTGTAGGCTAAAAAAAGTAGTAGTTGTAGTTACAGCGATTTGGAGACAAATGATTTGTGTAGTACCCCTTTATGGGATCATCAACATGTTCTTGTTCTTGTTCTTGGGAGCGTATGCATCTTTATTCCAAGAACTCGAGGATTTACATAATGTATGATATTGTTAGTTTTGAGCCATGTCATGATTTTACTTTTTCTTTGTAATTATCTTTCTCTTATATATTAATTTAAGATCATTTCCTTTCGTATCCAATGTAAAACTTTGTTTGTACTTTTCTTAGATTTGAGGAGGCACCATCGAGGAGGAGGATAGAAGAAATAGAAATTATGGAACAATTTCAATTGAGAAGATTGGGAGAGGTTCACCTTTAAATACTGAAGGAATTGAACCACTTACCATAGGAGTTGTTATATACTTAGCCTCATGCATCTTGATCTTCAAAGGAATATCAAACCCATATTTAGACTAAGAAAGAAAAATCTCACCAAAAGAAAGGGAACAAAACTTATACGCCCAAAAAGTAACTCAACTGATCTAAATCCTTCTAGGAAAATTGCTAATGAAGAGCATGAATAAGTTGATCTAATTAAAATGTAACAATGAACAAGCAAGTACGAATAAGCTCGAGAATCGCAACGCTTCTATAACATCGACTAATAATAGACCAACTATTAAAACTCCAATGAAATTTTCTTTTACCTATATTCTTCAGTGATCTATTATTAACAACACTAATCTGTAGCCGCTAACAGAGGCGCATAGGTGCTTTACAGAGATCCTGCTTCACCGTCAAGAATGGCAGAAGCCACGCTAAAAAATACTATTACCAAATGTTTCCAAATTTTAGTTAAATGCTGAAAAAAATAAATCTAATATAGGTTTTTTAACACTATTTTTAATTCACTGTTTTTAACCAGATTTTCCTACAATATTCAAATTGTTTGAGATGCATTCCCAACATACCTAAACTCTAATTACTCATCTAACCCTATTACTTCTGCTTCGTTTTTATGTTCAAAATATCATATTTTCATTTTAATGGTCCAATTTTAATAAAATAATAAACTTTTGATAAAGAAGATGAGTGCTAATTCATCCGCGCCTATCAACCTTGCAAGTAAATATCAAAACATACCGAAAAAGAAAATGCATTCCCATTTAATAAAGCTGCCTAAATAGACTCACCTATATTGCATTACAATCCAATCGGATAAAAATCTTCTACTCCCGCAATTGTATTACATTACAACATGTGCAATGAATTAGTAGCTTCACTCTTGCCTTTTTAAGCAAAGAAACGCATCAACCACCCCACTGTCCATAAGCTGCAGATTGGCCAAGCAGCTGCCCCAGAATGCACCCCTGCATTCACCAATAACTCAGCAGCTAAAGCCATGGCCATAAAACTTTACTAAAGTTGCACACATCGCCCAAATCCAGGCGTAATTGATTCCCAAAATTTCAATCTTTTCAGCAAACCAGTGCCCCACCCCTAGACTTGCGGGAGCAAACCCGCGTGGAGAACACAGTACAAAAGTCAACATTTCCAACTTTATCAGCTGAAATGCTTACCAAAACCTGTTTAACAACTCGACTCCAATCAATGCACACTCTGATCTCCGGAATTTTATTACTCTCATTAATTCATTCATACAACATATTGATTAAATATATGAAGTGATCAAGTTTGTAGACTGTAATGTAAATGCAATAATCTATGTCCTGGTTTCTATCATCAAAAACCAGAGAATTCACATCAAAACAATCTAACTTTTCTCTATTCTAATAACCTGTGTTACACATTACATTACTATTGCAATGCAAATAAATATGATGAAGATGATGACCCACCAATCCGATCACCATCTTATGCCTTACTTGATAGAGTTGGAATACTCTGTTCGTTCCAGAAGAAATTCTCTGGATCCACCGCCGTCTTCACCTTCACCAGCCTCTCGAAGTTATCCCCAAAGTACTTGAACCCATAAACCTTCCCTTCTTCGTAGCTGTTCTTGTCGTTGTTGTTGGTGCCGATGTCCAGGTCTCTGTAGTTCAAGAACGATTGCCTTGGGTTCTTCGACACGAATGGGGTCATGAAACTGTACAGCCTTCTTATTTGTTTCATGAACTGCTGATCCGCCTCCGCCCCTGGTTCGTCCCAATTCACCGAGTATTGCATTTTGAACAAGTTTCCCGCTCGGTGAGGAAACGGTGTCGCCGACGTTAGAATTTCGCTCATCTTTCCGCCGTATGGGTTGAAAACCAGCCCTGTTTTCCCGATTTCGATCATCTTCTTGTACACCCAATCCAACCCATCTCTTGAAATTGGCGTCTGCACGTAATCGGATTTCCTTTTCAGGAAATTTGCCGAATCGACATTCCGATCCAGCAGAACTTTTGGTGAAGTTCCGACGTCGAAATTAGCCCACCACACAACGGAATCGATCCAACTCATTTCAGTACAGTTCTCTTTCT